GAGGGCAGCTTGAGAATGGTTGGATTTGGTATGACGAACTGATGGTAGCTATATCTCATGGCCATGGCTCGTCATCCTTCACTGCTGGCTTGATTTCAAGGAACATCACTCTCAATATCCTGCTCACGCATGAAGAAAAATGAGTCTCCCTAGCCCATGTATCATAATTGTATGAACATTGCAGGACTTTATTGTGAGGCTTATGTGCAGAGATCGGGGGCAGACCCTGGTTAACAGGAGGAAACCACTGTGAGTGGCAGGCTGGACTGGTGATGCGTCACCGCGGGCGGGAGAGATCTCCCTCGCAAGTGCTCTGCCAATTTTGGTCACTGCCATGTAGGCATGGGCATCTGGCCCGACCCGGCCCGACCCGTCCCGTTTAGGGCGACCTGTTAGCTTAACGGGTCGGGTCGGGTCGGGTTAGCGGGTCGGGTTTGACTCTGTTTTGGTGACCCGACCCGCCCCGTTGGAACGGGTAGTTGTGACCCGTTACCGGGTCGGTTACACCACGGGTCGGGTCGGGTCGGATCAAAACATGCTACATAGGAGCAGGGTATGGTGGCGCCTTGGCCCTGCTCCAAGTGGCGTTCGCGATGCTGGAGGTGGGGACCGCGATTTTGGCTGGTGGCGTTCGCGCTACTGCAAGGCCGCTATCGCGCTATTGCGGGGATGCGATCCCGCCAATGCGTGGCCGCGATCGCGCTGCCCTAATGTGGTGCCGTGATCGCGCATATGCGGGGCCGCGATCGTGCTGGGCAAATGCGGGGCCGAGATCGCGCTATTGCGGGGCCACGATCCCGCCAATGCGTGGCCGCGATCCCGCCAATGCGTGGCCGTGATCCCGCCAATGCGTGGCCGCGATCCCGCCAATGCGTGGCCGCGAGTGCACTGCTGTGCCCCTGGTCGTGCGACACTGCGTAATGGCAGGAGCGCCTATGCCTATAATGAATGTAAATATTAAAATAGTGCTAACATTGAAGTGAAGACTGTAAGAGTTTTGGTAGGTGCAGTGGAGATTTACTAACTTGATTAGAGACTGGATCTGAATGTCGAGGGAAACAAAACATCAAAACCAACTGATGTTCTCCCCCTCTCCAAATTGTACCCTAAGCATAGAACGGGTCGGGTAACCCTGTCATTTGACTGGGTATGCGACCCGGACGGGACAGGTCAACCCGACCCGGCGGGTCGCTGATACCCGTCTAAAAGTCACATTGACGGGTCACGGGTCGACCCGACCCGCCCGGGTAAACCCGACCTGACCCGGACGGGTCGACATTCTCAGCATTCCTGACCCGACCCGCCATTTTAGGCGGGTCGGGTCGGGTAACCCGATCCGTCCGGGCCAAATGCCCATCCCTACTGCCATGCACCGCCTCCCTTCCCGGCCTTGAGTTTCAAAGTGCAAAGTGGTTCAATCATGTGGGCCAAAGTATACCTGCTTAGCGAAGCCCAAATCCAGCTTAATCTGTAGTTTCAGGAATGATTAGCCGTGCAAATGAGAGTTATCGATTAAGTTCTTTGGATACGGACAGGTATCCAAGGCTGGTCATGTTGCCGATGGTGGATGGAATCGAACCACTGAAACTGTTACTCGATATATCCCTGATGGTACATACAACCAAAGGGGGCCAGGAAAGAGAGAGATAGAGTCAGTAGTTGGTGGGAGAGGGGAGTGGAAACAGAATGTGTAAAATCCAAGAGTGTTAAACTCGTACTTATACTAGCTTATACACACGATAATAGGAGGTGTTGGAAGTGGAAGTTGTTACGCTCAAATTTCAAGTACCTATCCCAATAAGTGCCTCCAAGCGTGAGCGCAAACATGTTTCCTATACTTAAGTTCGACTCTCTACCACATTTTTACAAGGAGCAGACATCACAAGAATGGACATCAAGAGATGCCATAATTGGAGCTATTCTGAATGTTGCATAAGCAGGCAAACATGTGTACACCAAAGCAGGGGTGAAAAGTATAGCCTGCAGATTGATGACAAGAGGCTAAAGTGGAACACCAGATAGACAAATGTGCTTGAGACGCTGAGCTGGGATGGCCAAATGTTAACATTTAGACCGTGAGTGCAAAATGGACGACACAACCCTTGAAAATATTTGTCCATGTACATGAGAAAACAATTTGGAGGCTCCGCTAGTGGGGCCTGATAGCCTAGCATTTCTTCATAGTTGAGGTTGTGACTACCAACAAATCTATAGAGAAGACAGAGATGATTGTGTCAGGGATAAGCACGCGAAATCATGGTTACAACAGTTACTCCAAGGGGGAATACAAGATCCCAATCTCCCATTGCAGATTCAGAGGGGAATGGCAAGTTTTACTAGCTCAAAAGGGATGTTTGCAGTCACAAGTGAAACCGGGGCTGGTTGGATTAAATTTTATCCTCACAATTATACAGGTGTATATCTTGCTCATCTGGCAATGAGTAGGCGTTTGGAACGGATTGGCCTTAAGAATTGTCATGTAGCGGATTTGATGGGAAGATGGTTCATGAGAAAAAATGGTGAGCTCACGATTAGCTTAGCGTTTACCATTTCAGAGAGAGGCGGCCTATTCGTAGTTGATGGAGCTAAGACTCGATCAGGAAGTTATGGCGTCTTAGAGTATGCTGGAACTCATGGAAGTTATTTGTGGTCTTCTTGTGACTTTTCTCTTCATGACAAGTCTAATCAAAGAGGTTTTCTCTTTCACTCCTTCCATGTATGGAGGATTCAACAACTCCCTTGTGCATGGACCCTGTTGTCAGGCTTATGTGGAGAGTTCGGCTACAGACCCATCCCGACCCGACCCAATTTTCCTACCCAGCCTTTTACAGATGGGTCATTTTCGACCAGGGCCTCGGTCAGGTCAACCCGAACCAGGGTCGGGTGTTTATTTGTACCCTATTCTTGCCAGCCAATCTGAGCAGATCGGCGGTTTCACCTGCCGATCTGCCTGGATCGGGAAATTCCAAAGCTCACCGCTGATTCACCACTGAGGTTCTCCCGTGCGGGCAATGTGCCTCATACTTCTATGAGCTTAATTTCCTACGTGAGCATCTTCCGACTCACTCCCCTACTTGAACGTCATCACAGGACTGAGCGCAGAGTGCTCGTTGGTCAATAGGCTGGTTTCGCAGCACGAGGCATATGCCTGCCCATCCGGACGGGCCCCACACCTACCGAACCTTGTCGTGGGTGCAATGTACCCGCTGCATCATCTGTGTTGGTGGCTGATACCTCAGTCCTTGGACGAGATTCCCCTGGTTATGCTAGCATTGGTCCAGAGGGGGAATGTTGGCTGACTCTCTTGCCAATCCAAGGGCACCTTCCACCCCAAATGCACCGGTCCAAGAATAACCTTGTGACACGTAGATTATTGTGAGATTTACGTGGCCATCATGATTAAATATCTACACCTAGTATTACCACAAGCTTTTACCCTCGGATCGTAAAGAAGGTCGCAAGGATCCTGGGCATGCCATACGAGGTTTGCGTGGGGCTATGATTCAAGGCAAACCAGTGCAGTTCGACCTTTGGCAAGCCGACAAATATCAAATCTTTCCACATCCGAACAGGCCGGCCAATTGTTCAGCCCGGACCAAGTTTTCATGTCTGCTTATGCATCACGGGGAGTACATTACTGGTGATGGCATCCGTCCTTTTCACATACTCGTGCGTTGTTGGCAGGACCCATCTCGTGGGTTCGAAGAATTATGGATGGCTAGCCATGCCCTGCTGCATGGCTCTCACGTCTCATATGTGACTACACGGCGTTCCGATTGAATTTTAGTCCCTTCATGTACGGTAGAAAGCTGTGGTCTCAAGCTTCAGCTTTGGAAGATTGCGGTCACCGACACTAGCTTTAAGTGGAGTACTTTCAAGTAAAACCAGACCAAGCCTGGCCCAACTCAAGTGGACGGGTCATAGCAAGGCAGGAATATTATCCAACCCAGACCCTGCCGGCCCCATACCGGTGTCATGTCTGCAAGGTTCAAAATTACGACCGTATTATTGAATTTTCACCGTATAATACGGAATCGTATAATACGACCGTAAAATACGGTTTAATACGGTGGATTGAGTTTTTTTGTGTTTGGTTCAAAAATACGACCGTATAATTCGACCGAAAAATTGAAACCGGGTCTGTGTATATCAGGAATCACAGTGTCACACGCACATTTCTCCCAACCGTGCTTTTGTCTCACAACCGTACACACGAATGTGTTTTTTTCCTGCGTCGCGAATGTCACGACTCTTTCGCGTCGCGACATTTGGGCATTTGGCGAGGCCAATTTCGAGTTTACGTGTTTCGCCAACTCGTTGGCATGAGTCGCCAAAGCGGAACGTGTACAATTTCCCGAGGCGCGACATTCTAACATGTGGCGAACGGTACCCATTCGACCCCACGTTTCGTGATTTTCGTTAAACATTTTCGCACGGCGAAGGTTTGGTTCGCTCGCAGTCGCGACACATCCAAAAGTCGCGATGCGAAACCAATCTAACCAATCAGAATACATCCCGTGAGCTCAACCTTTTCAAAAACCCACTCGACACAACACACCCACCTTCCACAACGAGGTACTTAGGAGCTCGGTTTAGCCACTCCTAATCATATTCTGAGCATAGTTCTGCTCTAGTTTAGTCTTCAGGGTGCTCCACTAGGGTTCGTGCCAGTCAGGACGTACGCCATGGCGAGGCAGAAATCGCCGCTGTGGAAGCACGTTACAACGACTAAGGGACCAGACGGCACCTTAACGGCGAAATGCGTACACTGGTCCGAATCCGTGACTGCTAATGCTACACGCATAGGAGAGCACATCTATGGGACGCCGAAGGACAAAGATAAGAATGTGACGCCGTGCACCCACGAAGTCGCCATCAAACTTCGCGAGGAAGCAGCGGCTAATGAGCTTTCTGGAAGCACCACTCCGTCAACCCTTGGCTCCACTTCAACCCTAGACATCCAGCCCTCTCGCCGCACTCGACAGCGGGACATCCGCGACATGGTGGATGACTCTGCACGCGCTCGACTGGACTACCTATGGGCCGCTGCAGTGGCTGATAACGATTGGGCGTTCCACACGTCCAAGTCGCCAGCCGTGCAGAACTTCGTGGATGCGGCTGTTGCCTTCGGGAAACAATACACCCTCCCATCCCCCTTCAGGGTTTCTGGTGTTTTGCTTCAAAAACTGGTAGCGGATACCGAGGACCTTGTAAGGCCCCTGAAGGAGAGTTGGAACACTAGCGCCTGCACCATCTCCGTGGACGGCTGGACCTGCATGAAGAGCCGTGGGCTCGTGTGTGTCATAGCCCACAATGACACGGCGCCTGTCATCGTGAAGACCGTGGACTCCAAGACCGCGAAGAAGACGGGGGAGTACTTAGCCGGCCTCATCCGGACCTCAATCGCTGAGGTTGGAGACAAGAAGGTGGTGCAGGTGGTCATCGACAATGCGTCCAACAACCGTAGGGCGGCCGACATCCTCCGGGACGGTTTTCCTGCAGTGTTTTTCAACAACTGTGCGGCGCACGTCCTGGACCTGATGCTCCACGACATCGGGAGGGTCCGTGCTGTGCGGCGAGTGCTCAACCAGGTGCACAGGGTGGTTATGATCGTCAAGGGAAGCGCGTCTGCCGTCACGCTCTTCCACGAGTTGTTTAGCACTTTGTCCTTGGTGCGGCCCGGTGCAACACGCTTCGACACGCAAGTTATCATGCTTGCCCGCTTCCTGGAAGTAAAGAAAGCGCTCAAGGAGATGATCATCAGTGAGGAGTGGGAGTCGGTGGCGGTGGCGCGCTCTGAGGAGGGTCGAGCTGTCCGCCAGCTCCTCTTGGATGAGGTCTTTTGGGAGTGCGCGACAGCGGTCCTCCGCCTCATGACACCCGTGTATGAAGTGCTGCGGGTGGTTGACACCCGTGCTCTAGTCATGGGCCAGATCTATGGCCTCATGCTAGATGCCACGGTGAAGACAAACAATGCGGCAGAGGCGGCAGGTAAGCTATGAATTGCCGCACGTTCTGGCTATTGTATACCCTTCCCGCCAATTGTGCTCACCTCGTGCTCTCCGGTTCTCCCCATGGGCAGCCAAATGATGCTGAAACGCACCGCTCTCTTGCCGGCCAAAGACAAGCCGGCCTTTCTGGCCGCCATCAAGGCTATCATAGCAAGGAGGTGGGACTCCCAGCTCCACAATCCACTCCATGCTATGGGGTGGCTTCTGAACCCGCGCAATCAGTACGGCAAAGAGGTGAAGAACGATCCCGAGGTAAGGCTTGGGGCGGAAGCGGTGATCCAGGCCCGTGGGGGAGACGTCGCACAACGCGCGCTGCTGTTGGCGCAGTTGACGCAGTTTCATAAAGGAGAGGGGCTGATAGGGTCCGACGATGCCCGTTGGGCAGCAACGGTGTTGGTGGCGAGTGGGCGCTTGACGGAGGCAGAGTGGTGGCTGATGTATGGGGGGGGATTGCGAGCGCTCATGGGGATGGCTGTGACGGTGCTGTCACAGCCAGTCACGTCTTCTGAGGTCGAACGCTACTGGTCCGCCATTGCACGGGTGCAGAGGCGGGACCGTAACCGCCTCAGTGCCAACAAGATGATGGACGTGACTGAGGTGGCGTTCGCCAGGAGGGCCAGGGATGCTTTCGATAGGAAATCACGGCAGAGGGAGAAGCTTTATGCCGATCTGGCCAACGGCACCCTCCAGCAAGGGAGTGCCGTGGAACCGGCAGCAGCAGAGGAAGAGGAAGTGGGGGACGACGAGGAGGAGGGAGAAGGGAATGAGCAGCTATGCACCATTGATTGGGACCTATTCGGGAACATTGGGAAGCAGAAGAAGAAGGGGCCAAAGACCGCTAAAAGGAAGAGAAACGGGAAGGCCAAGAAGCCTACCAAGGGAAAGAGGAAGGCAACATCCGTGCGAGAGGAAGAGGGTGAGGAGGAGGAGGCGGCGGATAGCAGTGGAGGGGAGGAGGAGGACGTGCCCACCAAGGCTCAAAATGGCGCGGATCCTTGGGACATTAGTGACGGGTCTAGTGGGGAGGAAGAGGAGGAGGCGGATGAGGAGGAGGAGGAGGAGGAGGAGGAGGAGGAGGAGGAGGAGGAGGAGGAGGAGGAGGAGGAGGAGGAGGAGGAGGATGAGTAGAGAAGAGAGAAGGTTACAAGTTGGAGGAGGAGAGAGAGATAGAGAAGGATAGGATAGGGTAGGAGGTGTAAAGTAAAGAGTAGTGGACGGTACGGTAGTAGTGGAAATGGTCGAGTAGTGTTGAAACCATCTGTTCTGTTGTTATGCTATGCTAATGTAGTGTGTACCTTTCAGAGCATTGCTACGGGGAAAAAAAAAAAAAAAAAAAAAAAAAAAAAAAAAAAACACCAGAAAAACAGTCTATCAAAAATACGGCGTATTTTTGAATTTCTTGCCGTAAAAAACGACCGTATTATACGGACCGTATAATACGGTAGCCGTAATTTTGATCCTTGCATGTCTGGCCATGGAGGCAAAAACCACACCGACCAAGATTCTACTCTTGCTCTCGCTAGTTTGAAAACCGATATGGTTTTCCCATACTTTCTATCAAGGGTAGCACTAGTAACGGACGTTAGAGAAACAATTGTGCGGGAAGGAGACATAAGTTTAGCGGTCAGGCAAGAGCCAGCCCAGGTTCATAAAAAGGAGAATACGGCAGAACCAAGGTCAACCCTCCTACCTATCCGGCCATGGCTGACTTGCTGCAAGGAGGTCATGTACTGTGTCTGCCATGCCAAGCATGTTAAGCTGTGTCCACACGGATTTGGCAGGCAAGATGGTCATTGCCAGTAGGCACCATTTGCCGGTTGTTTACATCAAGTAACAGTTTGAGTCACTGCTGATTCATTGCATTATGGCCCTGCCATGGGATGGCCTGATATGAGCGTGCTTGAAGCCAAACCCATACGGAATTGAAAAGACAAGAGCTCAATGTGGTAGATGCACGAGTTACTTTGTATCACCCTTTTGGGGTCCACTCAGTGCCTCCTCCACTGTGGCTGGTTCTCCAGGCAAGGGTGTGAAGAAACAGAACGCCATCTCCTCATCTTCTCCCTCATCTGCCTGAACCGCCAAGGCACCTTGCTTGGGTCCTCACAAACGGCTATACTTCAGCTAGGGATGAGCAAAGGGCGAACACGAACATGTTTGTCTTCGCCCCTTGTCGAACACCCTCTTTTGCCGAACCGAACAGAGTTCGGTTCGGCGAACAGTTTAGGAAAAAGCAGGTGTTCGCTGTTCGCCTGTAGGGGCGTGTTCGGGCGAATCTCGAACACTGTTTGTGTTCGACGCGGGCAAATTTCAGCAGCGGCCCGAACACGAACGTGTTCGGGCGAACATCGAACACTGTTCGGCGAACGATTTGAGCTAAAAAACAAAACCTGTTCGGTTCGCCTCGAACACGTTCGAGGCGAACCGAACAGGTGTTCGCCACCTTGCTCATCCCTAACTTCAGCCTTGAGGGTGCTGCTGCCACTCTCTTCTCACGGGTTACAATCTGCAGCCCATGTGGTGAAGCTCCTCTCTGCACACTCTTCTGGGTGACCTTGGTGTTTGCAGCACGCTCGGGCTGAGATGGTGAGTCCACATGTGCCGACTCATCCTCCAACCCCTCCTCTGCAGCAAGACCAGCGTCTTGCTGCTCACCACCGCCACTGTGGTCACTGGTCAGCTCTGACCCTGGGAGATCCTCAAGGTGCAGCTGAACCTCCTCCGCTGCAGACCGCTCAATCTCCTGCAGACGCAAGCCAATATGCACCTGCTGCCACTGCTGCCAGTCCTTGTACATGACGTCCTCCACTAACTTGACGTCACGGCTGACCAGCCACTTCTTGCTTTTGGGGTCCCATATCAGCCACCCCTTCGAGTCAGGAGCCATCCCAAGATGGACAACCCACATAGCAGCAACTTCCAGCTTGTGCCTTTGCTCCTTAGGCACCATCACAAGCCCCATGCAGCCCCACACACGCAGCATGTCAATAGATGGCTTCTTCCCAAGCCAACGCTCGTACGGCACGCAATGCTTGTCGCCAACATGAGTCAAGACCCTGTTCTTGACCGTGATGACATGGCGAACGGCATCAGGCCAGAACTTGTAGGGCATCCCAGCAGCCCTCAACAAGGTCTTAGCCGACTCGCCAATGGTCCGGTTGGCACGCTCAGCAATGCCGTTCTGCTGCGGTGTTCCAGGACAAGTCAGCTGATGTCGGATGCCATTTCTCTTGAGGAACTTGGTGAATTCCGCTACAAGGAACTCTCCACCTCGGTCACTCCTCAGCACCTTCACCAGCCACATCGCTTGCCGCTCCACCATCGGCAACCAATCCTCCTTGATTGCCGCTGCAGCATCGCTTTTCTTGGACAAGGGACGTGCCCACGTGAAACGGCTCCATTCGTTCACCATGGTGAGGAAGTACAGCACTCCCCCAGTCCCCTCAGTTCTCATAGGACCCACCAGGTCCATGTGCACCACCTCCAATGGTGCCTTCGCTGATCCCTCCGCACGTGGAGACGGGAACCGCGCAAACTTGTTCTGCATGCACGCTTCGCGGCTGCCATAGTGACGGCCATCTCCTTGCAGTTGCAGCCCATGCACGCACTTCTCTTTTTGCATCACCTCCAATGTAGAAACAGCCACGTGTGCGAGCCGCCGATGCCAAGTCTCCCAATCCGCTTGGTCCGAGGTAGCGACGCTTTCACCGCCGTGCTTCCTCCAATCAGCTCCTCTCCTTGCACACCTTGCTGCTCCTCCTCGGTGACGCTCTTCTCCATAGATGCTGCCACTGCCGCCTTGCCCAATTTCCGCCAAGGGAGGACCGGGATCTGCCACATTCGCTTGTGGACATCTCCCTTCCACTGCATGTCCTAAATGAGACGCTCATCGTTGTAGGCACGATAGCGCTCCGAGCCAATCGTCTCGGTGTTCACACCCGCATCTCCCAACCGGCCGGTAGAAATCCGGTTCGCGCACAAGTCCGGCACCCACAGCACGCTCTTAAGCCCCACGAGCTCTCCATCCGCTCCCATGAACTTGGCGCATCCCATGCCCATGACCTTGGCCTTGGCGCCCATCGCAGATGTAACTGTAGAGATGGGTGCGGGCTGAATCTCATCAAGTAGGTCCGCACGAGGAGTCATGTGCCAAGAGCTCCCGGAGTCAATCACCCAATGGGTGAGGGGGTGTAGGAGAACCTTGGCAGCCATAGCGTGGTCGGTTGCGCCTTTGTTCACGAAGAAGAAGAACGCAGCTTTCCGCTCCTCAGATTTGCCGCCTTTCTCCTCATCCTTCTCCTCTCCACTAGCTCCCATGACTCCCCCACTCCTCGTGCCACCACGCTGGTTGCTTGATGAAGGCGGGGTCCAATCCTTGGGTCGTTGGTAGCACTTCCGCCAACGATGTCCGCGCTTCTTGCAGTAGAAGCACACCTCCCCTTGACCCCCGCCGCCATCCTCCTTAGGATTATCTTTGTTCTTGCCCTTCCACTTCTTCCTGAAGCCGCTCTTTCCACCTCCAACTCCATAGCCAGCCCCCTCCTCCGAGCGCTCCACACTCCGCCGCCGCAGGTCCTCCTCTAGGATGCGCGCGCGAATGTAATCCACGCTCCATTGCACGAGCTCCGGGTACACCACACCGCCTCCTTGGAGCTTCGTGAAGATGTCGCGCATCTCATCCAACACCGGTTGCATCGGCTCTCCATCAGCGAACTTGATGTCGCACAGCCGCCGCGCGAGTAGCACGATGCCGGTAGCATGTGTCGGTGAGTGCACATCCAGAAGCTTCCTCCAAGCCTTGAAGCCACACTCTGGATCACCCAAGAGGTCCTTGATGTGGTCAAGTTGTCGTCCGTCCACCGCTTGCACCATGAGCATGTACGCTTCTAACGATCGCTTCATCCACGCTCTTTTCAGCTCCGCGGCCTCCGGCATCTTCTCCTTTCCCTCCACCAAATCCAATAGCTTGTATTGGGTATACATCAGCTTCATGCGGAAACTCCAGTGCTCGTAGTCCTCCCCCATGAATTTCTCAATAGAGAAAGCTTTCACAAGATCCACGGTAGTAGGAGATGGTGTAGAAGAAGTAGGTAGCGTAGGGTTGGCTGGTTGGTGAGTCCCCACTCCTCCACCAGCAACTCCCCCCAGTTCTCCAGCCTCTCTACTTTGATCCATCACGCCACTTGCACCTACCAACCATATTGAGGCCTTATGAACGGTGGAAACTTGAGAAATCGTTTGGAGAGAATTTTGCCATAAATTTTGATTCTACGAAAATTGCCGTCGCAGACTGAATACTTCGAATTAGAACGCGTTTCGACCACCAAACGAACGTTCGCAAGCAGAGCTACTAGAAAATGGTCTTACTCGACAATATTCGTTGAGAATTGACGACGATTCGTCGTCTCAAAGTCGACTACCCGCTCTGATACCACTTGTTGTTCGAATCCATCACTTTGAGAGCTTACGACGAACTCAATTCTCGACTAAACACAAATCCGCTCGGTAGGAAGTTGCGCCTTGGACTTAGCTACCATCTCCAAGTTGAATCAGTCATTAAGATGGTCTATAGATTGAGAACCAAGTAAAAACGTCTAGCAGCCGCATGACTAAAATGGTGGAGGAAGTACAAACATTAAGGCATAGGAAGTTGGAGTTGGGAACCTCCAAGAGAACCATGATAAGGAAGGGGTTCTCCAAGAGCTAGGGAAGGATGGTAAGAACCTTCCTAGCAGCAAGGATGCAACCCTCATCATGAGGTCCTTGAGGTGTCACATGCAAAATCCAATCTAGTTGAATTTTGCCTAGGTGTTGCAACATTTGCAACCCATGCTAGAAACTTCTAGCCACGCCAATCCAAAAGTCAAAGTTGGCTTCCTAACCACCCAACCAAAGATCCTTTTATAGTCATGTCCCAAGTAATCTCCCAAATTAGATATAACCCCAAAAGGTAATAAGAAATCCAAATCTTGGAAATCTTGTAACTTGGGCGATCTTGGTCGGAATAAGACGATCTTGGTGTCGTTTGAAAGCTCTGGATTTCTCTTGCATGATCAAGCATTTAGACTTGGAGAAAAACACAGAGATGATAATATCCAATAGCCATGCACAATGACATACGCTCATGC